GAATTTATTTTTTCTTATACCTTGAATTCAACAAAGTGTTCATTTCATTTTTTACATGCTTGCTAAATTGTTGAAACTGAGTTGATTTCCAACACAATCATCTCATTTTTTTTTTTTTGAATTTGAATAGATTTTTCTTTTCCATTTTTTTAAAAATATATTAATTATTGGCTATATGGTTAGCATTGAGCCTTCCCTTTTAAAGAAATAAATTTATTCTCCATTTAAAGAACAAAAAGATGTTAGAAAAACCATTGCTTTGATTGGCAGAGCTATTCAGCGGCAAAAGATAAAGAAGTTTTGGACCAGTTTCGAAGCGAAAAATCATACAAACGCCCACCGTGGGGCTCGAACCCACGACCACAAGGTTAAGAGCCTTGCGCTCTACCAACTGAGCTAGACGGGCTTGCTGTTAACGTGGAGCCAATCATAATTAAATATTTAATGCAAATAAAAAATACCATCATATATGTGTCTAAGGTGGAGGAGGGGCTTAGAGAGAAGCAAGAAACAAAATAACGTAAAACAGAATGGGATTTCTATGGACGATTGCAGAACTCCTGGTAGCCTTAGTTTTCATTATAGCTTCGTTCTTGCTTACTGCAGTCGTATCTGAAGCTTATAGAAGAAGACACAACAACACGTACCTTCTCTTCTCTTCTTTCAATTCCTTCCGTAATAATTTAAATTTAAGATTCATATATAATCTGTGTTTATTTTTTCATTAGGCATGTTGATGCTCCTGCTTTCTTCGAGGATCCGAATTCCTTGAAACAGGTAAAATCATGAAGATGATGCTTCCTTTAATATTTCTCCTAATGTAGGGAATTTTTTTAATTTTTAATATAGGAAGTAGTGAACTTGATGAAGCCGAATGTTATTAACCATATGCCCTTTCTTAGTGAAGCTACGGCATTTGAAGGCGTAAATTTTCTATCTTTTCTGTGAATTATATGATATAAATCGCTATTTGAGACCCGATGCAGCTGTTTATCGAGAGCTGTTTTTTTAGTGATTTTTCGTTGTCTAGATTGGTTTTAACTTTAGAATTGTTCAAACAGGAAGCTTTTCTGGTTAGGTTACTCAAGAAAGATCAAAACATAACCTTTTGACTTGAATCGAATTATGGTTTCGGGTTCGCTCGGCTTTGATTTTTATTACTAACATTTCACCGAGAATCAGGTGTACTTGCAGAAAAATAGGTATTTTGAAGAGGAAGTGGTGTGATTATTATAATTAGATCAGTATTATATGATGGCAGCACATGTGCAGTGCTATTTAATGAAATATAGAAGAGGTTTTAAGTGAATCTTACATTTATTTTTTTCTTAAAACAGGTTCCATTTCCCCATATCCACGAGCCTGCCGAGAAATATATATCTTTGGTTATTCCTGCGTTTAATGAAGAGCATAGGCTTCTGGGAGCTCTTGATGAAACCATCAAGTAGGTTTAGCCAAATTAATTGTAGTGTATTATAGTGGTGTTGCTTTTTAATTTTGGAGTTTGTATTGAGCAAGAAGAGGCTTAGAGTATTGTAGCATTTTAGGTACATTGTATTTCCGTTTAAAAAAGAAAATTTTTTAAGCATTCTCATTGCCTGATATGCAAAATGCAATGAACAAAAATGACGTAGACTTAGACAAATACAATAATTAAATGAGAACACGGTGATAGGGAAACTCAATTGTAAATCATGGATCTGCTTGTGCAATATGCTTTCATTGGTCAGCAACTTGCCATCCAAAAGAACGTTCAATTTTTTTTTCTCAACCCATTTTTTGTGTAGTCTTGTTTGTTATGGTATATGAGAAAATAAGGATAGGAGATATGAGGAATACAGTTTCCTAGTAGTGATCCCATAAAGTAATTAATTGGATCAATAACTATTTGCAATAGAACTAAGCTATTGGGATTTTAATGTTATCTGTGTTTTCACTTTGTAGTTATCTTCAAGAGCGTGCAGCAAAGGATAAGTCATTTACTTATGAGGTACCTTTTGTTCTTAAAATATCCTGGATCATTTTTTTTCTCCACAGCTAGTGATGAATGATAGGTTATAATGTATAGTTGTGAGAATCATCCAATGCATGAGAGTTTTTTGATAGTGGTTTTTGGAGCATCATTTTGGTTAAAGCTACAGTACTGTAATTGGAAAAACAAGAAAAGAGAATCCTACCAGGAATTCCATGAAGATGTTAGCTTTTATCCCTTTCATCTCAAAATTTTAGGTGTACTAATTAAGCTAAAAACCTTTTGTTTAGTGTGCTGTTCTATTTACAAATTGAGAGCTGTATAGTGATTGATGCTCTGCTGCTTGTGTTATTACTGTTGTGAACCATCGAGGATGAGCTATGTTCCTAGCATTTTCTTCATCTTTACATTGTCTAAATAAATGAGTTTCTGAAAAGGTGGTGATTGTTGATGATGGAAGTGCTGATGCGACAAAACGAGTAGCTTTTGACTTTGTAAAGAAATACACAGTGGATAATGTAAGGGTTATCCTTCTTGGTAGAAATCATGGCAAAGGAGAAGCTATTAGAAAAGTGAGTATAATCTAAGCTGTTCTTTGATGCAGTTATGTAATCTTTAATTCAGTTAGGTCCCATGTTCACAACAACTCATTGAAGCTTTTTATGTATGTGAAAGCATTGTAAAACAGGGCATGCTTCATTCACGTGGTGAACTACTTCTAATGCTCGATGCTGATGGGGCAACCAAGGTTACTGACTTAGAGAAACTAGAAAATCAGGTTTGTGTTAGCTACGGCAAGTTTAGTGGGTAAAAACATTGTAAATTTTTTCTTTCCTTTTTTTAGAAGAAAATAGCTATTGCAATAACTTCACTTCAGACCATCTAATGCTTTGTGTATCAGATCCATGCAGTTGCTAGAAAGGAGTTCCATTTAGGAGAGTCAACATCTAGCGATTCAAGTTTTAGAATATCTGATATCCCACTTGCTGCCTTTGGTTCCCGTGCTCACCTTGAGGAGAAGGCTTTGGCTACAGTTCAGTCTGATCGATTTTTCTCACTAATTCATTTTTTTTTTCTTCAGCATCCTTATTTTGTGGTGGCCTTTAGTTGATCTTCTTGCCTTCATTTCTCAGAGGAAATGGTACCGCAATTTTCTTATGAAAGGCTTTCATCTTGTGGTTCTCTTGACTGCTGGTTCTGGAATTCGTGACACACAGGTAAATTTCTGCAATATTTATACACATGCATGTGCCCAAGCACACACTCACTTGTGGTTGTTGGTTTGACACTAGCATAGACTTTTTTTTTAGAAACTCTAGTCAAAGCCTTGAAGCTCATGTATTGTAATGGGGTGAAAATGCTATCTTTTTGTTTTTTGTTTTTTGTTTTTTGTTTTTTGTTTTTTGTTTTTTTTTCCTTGATGCGATCTTTCGTGCATTACAGTGTGGTTTTAAGATGTTTACTAGGGCTGCTGCTCGGAAGCTTTTCACAAACATCCGGTTGAAGAGGCAAGTATAAACAGTAATGATTAATTTTATCTTCTCTTCCTAGCTTGTAAAATTCATTAGAAAAAACAAAGTATACTGATATTTGCATTTACACATGCTACTTGTTGGCCCTACTCTATAAAAGTATCACCGGACATGGGCACCATAAAAATCTAACAATTCCAATTTAACCCATCCATTTAGCATGCTGTACAATGAGGCTACTGTCATAACATCACCACTTAGGGGGCTGGCTGCAAGGGGGGGGGTATGGGCACGGATTGCAAGGC